AATCTGCTGCACAAGACTTTTTAAAAGTGTTGAAGAGCAAAGATATCAGCTTGAGGACTTAAGTGCTCCTGACCCAAGCCATGGTATTTTCAATAACCTCATATGCAGTCAGAGTGCTCCTTGGAGGCTACGATGACCAAACTTTGTCTCTCGTACTTTGGACATATTGTCAGGAGGGACCAGTTGCTGGAGAAGGATATCGTGTTTGGTAAGGTGGAGGTTCAGAGAAAAAGAAGAAAACCTCCAATGAGATGGATTGGCCAAGTGGCAGTGGCAATGGATTCAAGTGTGGCAACAATAGTGAGGTTGGCCCAGGATTGGGCAGTGTTTCATTCTGCTGTACATAAGGTCGCTATGAGTCGATACCGACTCAATGGCACCTAACAACAACAACAACAACAACAACAACTAGGTGCAAAGTATTAATGCCTTTGAGTCAATTCTGACTCATACTTACCTTATATAGGACTTCAAAGGAGCAGTTGGTGGGTTTGAATAACCGTAAGACTGCTAACTGCAAGATTAGCCGTTCAAACCCATCAGCCACTCCTCAGAAACCCTATACAGAGTCGACAGGTGTTGAAACTGATTCAACGGCATTGAACAGTAGCAACCTGTTACAAAAAGATGGCAAAAGAGTAGCATATTTTATTTCTAAACTGGATTTTAAAATAAAAATAATAACTTAATACGCTGGATGGCAAAGTTGGTTTGAACCACAAGGTTGGCTGTTCAAGCTCACTTACCAACAATGTAACATTGGAGTTCTGGTGTGACGCTGTAGGACAAGCGCTAGACTTCTAACAGCAAGATCAACACCTCAAACCCACCAGTCACTCCTCGGAAACCCTATACATGGTTGCTATGAGTCCAAACTGACTCAATGGCATCTAACAACAACAACAATGTAAAATTACAAATATTAAGCCAATTACCACAGCCAGTTAGTGTTAGGTTTGAGGGGTTTCCCACTCTGTAAAGCAAAATAAAGAAAATGTGAAATGTGTTCTGGTTAGCAATAGCAAAGCATTTTCTTCTTAGTATTCGTTGAAGCTCATTCAAATGGAACAATCAATAACTATTTGTTGAATTGAAAAACGCTTGCCTCTTCTCCCCCCAGACACACAATCCTTGATTTTCATGAAGCTGTTGTTTTCTCTTTTCTCTCTAACCTGTATTTCTCAGGCTTCGCTTTCCTCTAATTCAGAATTCTTCTCTTTGTGCTTCAATCATCTCATTCACAGATGCACTTGGAGTTGTTTCCTACAATGACATTTTAAAATTTGACTTCAGCATTTCTAATTCATCTTTAAATGTTTCTTCCCTGATATGCATCTTGCACTTCAATCTCAGCTACTGAAAACTAAACTCATCTTTCCTTCTGAAAAGTAGCATCACCTTTCCATGCTCCTATTTTTGTTGATGTAGCTTGTTGTTGTTGTTGTTAGGTGCCATAGAGTCGGTACCAACTCATAGTGACCCTCTGCATAACAAAATGAAACACTGACTGGTTGTTAATGAGCTTTCCTCCAATCCTGATGCCATGTATTTCTTCATATAATCCAGTTTCTCTGCTTATTTGCTCAGCATACAGATTGTATAAATTTGGTGACAGAATACAACCCTGGCACACACCTTTCTTAATTTTCAACCATTTGGTGTTCCCTCGTTCTGTTTGAACACAACTGCCTTTTGGTCTATGTACAGGTTCCACGAGTACAATTAAGTGTTCCGGAATACTCATACTTCATAATGTTGTCCATAGCTTGTCATGAACCACACAATTGAAAACATTTGTGTAGTTAGTAAAGCACAAGTAAATATCTTTCTGGTATTCTCTGCTTTCACCCAAGATCCATCTGACATCAGTAGTAATATCCCTCATTCCAAGTCCTCTTTTTAAACTGGCTTGAGCCTCTGGAAGTTCTCTGTCAATGCATGCTTGCAGCTGTTTCTGTATTACCTTGAGAAAAACTTTACTTGCCTGGAATATCAGTGATATTGTCTAATGATATCTGCATCCTGTTGGGTCATCTCTCTTTGGAATGGACACAAATACAAGTCTCTTCTAGTCAGTTTGCCATGTAGTTGTCTTCCAAATTTCTTGGCATAGATAGATGAGTGAGTGCCTCGAGTGCCGCTTCACTTTGCTGCACTTTCAACTCTGTATTCCTTGCATCTTCTTTTGATGCTTTCTTCAGCATTCACTATTTTGCCCATGGAATCCTTCAGTTGAGGTTTGAATTTTTTCTTCAGTCCCTCAGTTTGAGAAATGCTGAGTGTGGTCTTCCCTTTTGCTTTTCTAACTCCAGGTCTTTAGAAATTTTGTTAGAGTATTTTACTTTGTCTTCTCCAGCTGACCTCTGCAATTTTCTATTTAGCTCTTGTACCTCCTCACTTCTTTCATTTGCTTTAATATCTCTATGCTGGTGAGCAAGTTTCAGAGTCTCTTCTGACATCCATTTTGATCTTTTCCTTCTCTCTTGGCTTCTCAATGATTTTTTTTTGTTTTTTCATTGTGAACTGAGTGATAGTTTACTTGCGAGAACATTGACTTCACAACATGGTTTCATTGCAATGATTACAATCTCCTCTGTGCATCATCATTCAACAGTATTTGCTTCTATTCCCTCTGTTTCTTTGGAGTTTTTTTTTTTTGGGGGGGGGGTGGAGTATACACAAAAACACTCAGAAATATATAATCATTTAAACAACCAAAGGGCACATTCTGCAAGCCTGCCTCCTGGTTGCCAGCACTCAGTCCCTCTCTTTCTGTGAGTCTAGAGTCCTCAGCTGCTCCCTCTCTCCATGTGCTCATCTCTGCTTCCATCTCTGGTGTCACAGGTTCTCTGGATAGGGTCCCGCGTTCCACTTGTGCTCTTCTCCCTTGATGGTCTTAGGGTCCTCCGTTTCTGGACTATAAGATTAACTACTCCCCCATTTTTGTTAGTCAATGACCTTTTGCTTTCTTCCTGTATGATGTTGTCTATGTCATTCCACAACACTTCTTGTCTTCGGTTTTCAGTGTCTAATGCATCAAATCGGTTCTTCAGATGATCTCTAAATTCCAGTGGGATATATTCAAGGTCATATTTTGGATCTTGTAGTCTTGTTTTAATTTTCTTCAGCCTCAACCTGAATTTGCATGTGAGCAATTGATGGTCTGTTCCACAGTCTGCCCCTGGCCTTGTTTTGGCTGATGATATGGAGCTCTTACACATTCTCTTTCCACAGATGTAGTCAATTTTACTTCTGTGCATTCCATCTGGTGAGATCCATGTGTTTAGTCATCTTTTGTGTTGTTTAAAAAAGGTATTTGTGATGAATATTTCATTGGTCTTGCAAAACTCTATCATGGGATCTCCAGCATCATTTCTGTCACCAAGGCCATATTTTCCAATGACTGCTCCTTCCTCTTTGTTTCCAACCTTTGCATTCAAATCACCAGTAATAATCAATTCATCTTGATTGCATGTTTGATCATTTTCAGGCTGAAAAAACTGGTAGAATTCTTCAGTTACATCCTCTCTGGCTTTAGTGGTTGGTGCGTGAATTTGAATAAAAGTGGTATTAACAGGTCTTCCCTGTAGGTGCATGGATATTATCCTGTCACAGACAGTGTAATACCTCGTGACCGATCTGAATATGTTCTTTTTGATGATGAATGCGACATCATTCCTCTTCAATTTGTCATTCCTGGCATAGTAAATCCTATGGTTGTCAGATTCAAAATGGCCAAAGCAGTTCATTTCGCTCACTAATGCCTAGGATATCAATGTTTATACATTCCATTTCATTCTTGACAGTTTCCAATTTTCCTAGATTCATACTTTGTACATTCCATGTTCTGATTATTAATGGATGTTTATAGCTGTTTCTCTTCATTTTGAGTTGTAAATGTAGCTAGACATCACATATAGTTGTTATTGCATATTGTACTCGGAATAAAAGCACCACATAAGAGAGGATTGGGAATGGACTAGTCTCAACGCTATTCACAGGCGGTGCACTCAGGGAAAAGGGGGACTTTTAGTAATTCCTTCGCCCAGAGAGGATGCCTTCATCTAAAACACAAAAAGAGGTGGATGTGCTATTGAAGGCCCTGAGTATCATCACCATAGTCTCCCAGCTGCCTAGACCAGCATCTCAGATTCTTGATTTATTCCTTCCTCTTTTAAATCAGGCACCAACGAGTCAACTCAAGGCAATCTCACGTGTGTCAGAGTAGAACTGTCCTTGGTACGGTTTTCAGTGGCAGATTTTGGAAGAGGAGATCGCCAGACCTTTCTTCCAAGATGCCTCTGAGTGGACTCAGACCTGCAACCTTCTAGTTAGTAACTGAGGGCACTTACCTTTTGTACCACCCAAGGACTCCTTTTCCCCTTTTATCATTGGTGGTAAGTGCCATGAAGTCAGTTCCAAATCACAGCAACCCTGTACAGAGTTTCCAAGGAGTGGCTGGTGGGTTTGAACTGCTAATCTTGAGGTTAGCAGGCCAGTGGTTATCCCCCACATATAATACATTGCATTCACCCCTGTCTTTCATCCACACAGTCTGGAGTCTAATGCAACCCAATGCCTTTTTCCTGAACAGTTTTAACAACCTGTTCATTGAACTCCACCTGTGACCTTTCTCTGCTCCTGTCTTTCCTTTACCCTGCTGCCAGATTAGCCTTTCTTAAAGCACAATTTTGATCTTGTCATTCTGTCACTCAAAAACTTCACCAGTCTCCATTGCCTGGTTATTAAGGACAAACTCCTTAGCTTGTCTTGCTTCAGCAAGCATGGTCTGAAATATTTGCACAATATCTTGCATGCTGCAAGCGCTCAGCAATGATTACATTTTAAGATATTCCATAATATGTGACCAACCTCTATTTCCCACCTTGGTCGCACTGGTCCTGTGTGTGCTCTCTGTCACTCTGGACTGCTTGCTACTTACAGAAGCAGCCTGTGGCTCTCCCATCTTCCTAACCTTGGTTTGGTGACTTATCCACCTGGGGCATTGTTATCCACCCTGACTTCCACAAGGTTCATTCCTGCTTTTCCTCTCTAGACACTATTCTTGTTTTTCTCTAAACCAAGACTGACATATGGATTGTAACTTTCTTATCACACATTTTTTTTTTCTCTGTAATGTCACTCTTGACTTGCTCTGGTAGCGTAGTGGTTACGAATCAGGTTGCGAACCACAAGGTCAGCAGTTCGAAACTACCAGCTGTTCCGCAGGAGAAAGATGAGGCTTTCTGCTCTCGTAAAGATTTACAGCCTCGGAAACCCTGTACAGGGTCACTATGAGTCAGAACCGACTCCACGGCACACAACAACAACAACAATGTCACTCTTGACTTGTTCTTCTCACTAGATTTGAAGCTTCTTGAGACTAGCAAGAATTTCAAGTATGGTTTTACCTCCTCTTGTGTCTCTAACTCAATGAGGAATATGTAGGTATTGAATAAATGTTTGTTGAATTGAAAACCATCAGCAGTTTTACACATGCTCAAACAACAGATTAGCTATTTGATACTTTTGTGGAAAGGTAACATTCCATAAGAAGGAAAAATAAAACTGTTTTTCTAGGGTACTTTTGTTTTTACATGGCTTTCTGACAACAACTAGACCACAATAAGAACCAATTTTGCTGTCAGTGGGGTTAATATGTAAAACATGATTAAAATACTTGATTCTACTTGTTTTAATTGTAGAGAGATGCGGAATCCCACGAGCATGAGATAATCCTTTCTCCTGATTTTCTTTCAATTGACCAAATCACTGATTTGCTAGCAGTGGACCCAAACGGAGTTCAAAAGTAAGCACTTCAATATTACAACCCAATACATAGAAGTATTAGTTGTGCGTCTTCAAATAATTGTGTTATCATTCACTTGAAGAATTTCTCAAATTATTTGTTACTGTTTTATTCACTGATATATATCCTGACTCTAGATCACAAGCATTCTCAAAGAAATGTGTGTGTGTGTGTGTGTGTGTGTGTGTCCTTCTTCATAGGAGAAATACATTTTCAAAAGAATTTATTTATATTAACTGAGAGTAGAGATTTCTTGTTAAAAGTAGCCTCTAGTATACACCATTTTCATTTTTCCCTCATTCATAAAACTGATTATTGACCCTCTGCTTCATCATTCATAGGATAAGCAAGTTGTTTTTCCTCTAATATTAATAGTTTGTACTTCTAAGTATTTTATAAATTCACGAATATTAGTCATCCACTCAGCTGTGCTAAGAACTCTGAATTCATAGGCAGTCTTGGTGTGGCACTGTAGGTTAAGCACTGGACCACAAGGTCAGTTTAAACCGCAAAATCAATGGTTCAGACTCATCAGCCACTCTTTGGACACCCTATACAGAGTTGCTATGAGTGGGAACTGACTCGACTGGGCACTTAATCACAGCAATAATTCTTACCTAGGAGCCCTGGTCCCACCGTGGTTAAGTACTCTGATGCTGACAAAAGGCAGGCCGCTTAAATACTTTAGCTCTCCTGGGGAGAAAGAAGTGACAGTCTGGTTTCATAAAGGTCACGCCCTTGGAAACTCTATAGGGAGTTCTGTTCTGCCCTGCAGGGTCACTCGCCCTCTATTTACATGTTGTTAAGTGCTCTCAAGTTGGTTCCGACCAATAGCAACCTGTATAGCGTTTCCAAGGAGCCGCTGGTGAGCTTGAACTGCCAACCTTAAGGTTCCAACCAACCTTGAGGTCCAGCACAGTGCATATCCCACTCAAAACCATTTATTTCTGCAGTAGACCATTTATTCAGAACTCTACTCAGATATAATCAGCCACACAATTTCGTAAAAGGTATTCCAGTGATCATCCATTTCAGATTTTCTGCACTCTGGTAATGAAAGCCTTAATGTGAAGTCCATAATGTGAGGAGAGTGGGGATGATGCTGTGTGCTGGCCGTACTGTCCAGTTGTAAGGTCCCTGCAGGCCAGTCCCCAGTACACAGACAGGGTGTTGTGAATGATAACGGACACATAGAAAATGACTCTGTCAGTGGTTGTCATTTGAGAATCTTACCAATATTAGGAAACAGAGGCAATTTGCTCCTGAGAAGGAGCTATGACAGACGGGCGGGAACTCTGAGGAGGTGAGGCATATCAGGAGTAAGTAAATGACATCAGCCGGCTTTTCCATGCCTGCAAATCCTGCTAGAAAACCCGATTCTCTGCATTTGGTCAGAAACTGCTTAATGTCAACAGCTCTGCAAGTGGTGCTCCAGACATTTAAAAAATTCACATCTTTTAAAAAATGATTTCATAATGATTTTACCAGTTTTGTAGAAATCAATGTGCATTGGGAATTCTAATTTGTTGTGTGGGAATTGATGAGGAAAATGTATTTCTTGTACTAATACCACCGATTATGCCTTTATATAGTTTCCCCTCTCCCCCATCTTCAGGTAACCTCAAATGTGTGGTCATTACAGTGCAAAATGGTAGCTGCCTAATGCTACCAGGCAAAAGAACATAATGCTAAATGAAAAAAAAATCATACGGTTTTCAGGTTTTTTAAAATAAATTAATTATATTAAGTAAATGGTATTACAAACAAATGCTCTTTAAACTTCCTTATTTATTACCACATTTTAAGTTATATTATGTATCATACCTGTGGAACAATATTTTTTTTCCTTTGTTAAGTCTATAAATTCTAGAAATACGTATTTAAAATTTTTTCAGGTGTGAATGATACATACATAGGATGATACTGATATTAGCACGAGAGAAATGACCAGATTCACAATAGGCTGACTATCTCATTATTATAGAAGTAACTTGAAATAATCTCAAGTTTTAGGACATTTATTTGGGGAAAAAAATGACACCAGTTTTATGTCAGGTGCCGTTTCTTTGCAAAGGAATCTTTAAAAAAAAAAAAAAAAAAACTTAATGTGATTATTGTATTAGTAATCCTGAAATATTTGCAATCACTCACTTTCATTTTACACTAGCTTTATATATGAGGATTATATACCTTTCAAATGACAGAAATATAATTTAGGCATCCTGTCACCAAGTGACAGAAGTATGCCAAAATCATGCTGTCTACAAAGCTAGAGACCTATTTAAATAAATTATAAGAAATCAGCACATTTCCCCGCCACTTAAAATTAAAAATTGCTCTCCATGAAAGCAACCAATGGAATAAATCACTCAAGTATCAGTAAAATCTATTTCTGGAGTACGCTTTAAGCAATGTGAAATTTCTAGATGCATTTCTCACGGTCCACTAGCTGATATCAATCATTCATGTTTTAATGTAACCCTGACTTTATTTACAGATCTACCTCAAATCCTTTTCTTAAAACAGGTATATAAACACAGAAATAACACTGAGAGATCTTTTTATAACCTTTCCGTATCTGGGCCTCCATGAGCTGTTCAGTTCTTGCCTGAAGGCTTATTTCTGCTTGTCATCATACTCGAGAAAAAAAATTCACCCCAATTTCAAAATCGTCTAAGAATAATGTAGTATTCATACGGAAATTCTTGGTGAGACAAAGTAGTTACAACATCTATCACTATAGAAAAACGTCCAAAGCACTTTCTCTTGCCTATTGTTTCTCACTCTCCAGTTGTGACCATCTTTACCCTCCCCTGCCCTATCTCCTCCTCCGCAGAGAAAAGGTGTCTACAGAATTGCCAACAATATGTATGGACACGTGGCATTCAAACTGTAGTGGCATATTTCTCCAATTTCCTCCCTGATTAATATCTTTTGGAATGGAGTAACCGTGCAAACAATAGAAATGATAAACAATCTTTCTTGTAGTTCAGATTGAAAGAGAAGATTCTAATAATGTTAGGTACTGTGGTGAAAAGAGAGTGGAGAGCGAAGGTTTGGAAGGTCAAAGAGTTTTCGCGAAAATAGTTTCAGGCAAGTAGTTGCCTTCCTTCAAGTAATAGTAAATGTTAAAAAAAAAAAAAAAAAAAAGATAAATAGCAAGGAATACTTGGGAATATTCTATTAAAAAGGCATAGCTTGCAGAAAGCATATGAAGAGTATACTTAATGACAAATGACTGGAAATGGAAGAAATGTTTAATAAAAGCTGATCATTTAAAGAGAGTATTAACACTGGGCAACAAGGGATTACAGAAGAGCTGATGAAATATCAAAATAAGAACCTTTTATAACTAAGGCAAGAAAATAAGAGTAAAAGAATAAAACCAAAATAAAGCTTACAGTCCTGAGAAGTCATTAGTATGGAAGACAAACTTAAGATGTACACAAAGTGCACCAATTAGAACATGGTAAATATGCATTCATGGCCTCTGCTAGAGCCGTCAGTTTGTACTTGATTATGAATCTGACGTTGACAGTTCGAACACACTCAGCAGCAGCATGGGGGAAGGTCTGGCAATCTGGTGTAATGAGGATTACAGCCAAGAAAGGCCAACGAAACAGGTCTTTTCTGTAATATGTGCTGTCACAGTGAGGTGAAATCAACTGAAAGGCAAAAGATTAGAATATGCACCCAATGTAGTGAATATCAGAAAACATCATTTATGCCACATAAATTCTTTATTTTAAATCTTAATAGACGAAAACCTCATACATTACCTTATCTTCAAAAAAGTTATTCATCTAAAGAGGGGTACAGTCAAGCAGGCATCAGATATTTCCTTAGCAACATTTGACAGTGAGAACCACTGAAGTCACAAAGAATCAAAAGTTAGTGAATCCGACAAATGTGATCCCACAATAAAATACTAATGCAGGCTATTGTTCCACTTCAATGGCAGTAAGGCTTGTAATATATGTGACAACTCAGAAAACTGAGTGTATGGTCTTATTGAAAAATCTACTCATAACATAGCTGAAAAGAAATCAATTCATTGGTGAACTTAAACTACCAATGAGAAACTATGGTATGAAGCCTGGCTCTAAGCATGGGACTTATTTGAAATTAAAATAAAGCCTACATGATAAAAGTAGACTAGAACCATTATCCCAGAACATGTCAACAAAAATAGGAGTATAAATGAGAAAATAATGTCCTGGAGAAGCGCTGTGGGTTAATGCAAAGTCAGTTGAACCACAAGGTTGGCAGTTCAATCTTACCAGCCGCTCCTAGGAAACCCTATATAGGGTCTCTGTGGGTTGGAACCAACTCAATGACACTTAACAGTAACAACAATATCCTTCTCTCACCATAAATAAAATCGAATGGCAAATTTAAAATGATCTTCTTTATTTCTTTTTGTTGTGAATTGAGTGAATGAAGGTTTATACAAAGTAGATCACCAGTTTTACATTCAATAAAGCATACAATTTGTTTCATGTTGATTTCAGTCCCCTCTATGTAATATCACTTATCCTAATTTCTCCATGTGTTTCTTATGTCTATTCCTCCTTTTTCTCCACCTTTCCATATTTTTCCATAGGTAAATACTCTCCTTTTGATCTCCCAATGGTTGACCACTCTATGGTGTATGTATCACTAATTATTGTCGTCCACCATGAACCTGTCTGTTGCTTGCCTGAAAACGGATCCGCAGAGTTGAGTTCAGTCCTAGAGTTGAGGGGTGATGAAGGGCATAGTCTCAGGGTTCCACCAGTCACTATCTGACCAGTAAGCCTACTCTGTTTTATGATTTTGAATTTTGTTCAGGACCATAATATTCCCTCACGGTGTTTGATGTCAAAGAATTTTTCTTAACTTTGCCCCCTGTATGCTGTGCCACTTTGATGAATATATTTATAGTAAAGGTAAATTTGTTGTTGTTGTTAAGTGCCATCGAGTCGGTTCCGACCCATAGCGACCCTGTACAGGGTTTCCGAGGGTATAAACATCCTCTGTCAACACACACACACACACACATATGTATATATATATATATATATATACTCCCACTCTCCCTCCCACACTCATTCTGTTTGAGTGTCTATCCATACAACTGTTGTTGTTGTTAAGTACTGTCAAGTTGCTTCCGACTCATAGCGAAGCTGGGGGGTTTGAACCACTGACCTTGTTGTTTGAACCTGTAAATTATTAATAAAGGACTGTGTGATGGTATTTGCCTCTGTTGCTTTTAACCCTTGCTGTGATAATAATGTCTTCCCCTGGCTTTATCATTCTTCTGCCAACCTCCCTTTTGTGTATTGCCTTTCCCATCACCCAAGTTAACATGTGTATATCCTCTCGCCAGTGAATTATTTCCCCTTCCCACCCACCCCTACTAACCAACAGAGAATGTTTCTTTTAATGTGAAAACCTTGTCTTGACTTTACACAATAATGGTCTCGTACAATATTTGTCCTCTTTTGACTGACTAATTTCACTCAGCATAATGTCCTCTAGGTTCATCCATATTATGAAGTGTTTCACAAATTCATCCTTATTCTTCATTGCTGTGTAGCATTCCATTGTGTGTATGTACCAAAATGTGTGTATCCATTCTTCCATTGATTGGCATTTAGGTTGACTCCATCTTTTTACTCTTATGAATAGTGCTACAATGAACATGAGTGTGCACACATCTACCCATGGCATGGCTCTTATTTCCCTAGGATATATACCAAGTAGAGGGATTGCTGGGTTATATGGTTTTTCTAGTTCCAGCTTTTTGTGGATGTGCCATACTGTTTTCACAGTCAGTGTTTTGAGGGTTCCAGCTTCCCCACACCCTCACCAGCATTCTGTTGTTTTCTGGTGTTTGTTTTGAAGCTTTGTTATTAATGTTGAGGTGAGAGGCTGTCTCATTGTTGTTTTGATTTGGATTTCTCTAATGGCCAGTTGTCAGGAGTATTTCTTCATATGCTTGTTGGCTGCTTGACTGTATTTTTTGTTTAAGTGTCTGTTCATGTCCTCTGCCCATTTTTAAATTGGATTATTCATCTTTTTCATGTTGAAGTGTTGGAGTTTTCTATAAATTGTATATATTATCCCATGTCTGATATGTCTTTGCCAATTTTTTTCTCCCCTGTGTGTGGGATCTCTTTTTATTCTTTTCGTGAAATCTTTTTATACACATAAACATCTAATTTTAGGAGGTCCTAGTCATCTATTTCGTCTTCTGCTGTTTGTGTGTTTTCACTTATGTTTGACAGTGTGTTTAGGCCGTGTACCAAAGCCCTTAAGTTTGTTTCTATTTTTTCATTGATGATCTTTATAGTTCTAGGTTTTACATTTAGGTCTGGGACCCATCTTGAGTTTGTTTTTGTATATGAAGTGAGATATGGGTCTTATTTCATTCTTCTGCAAATTAATATCCCATTTTACCAGCACCATTTGTTAAAGAAACTATTTTTCTTCATTTAATGGGTTTGGGCCGTTTGTTAAAGATAAGCAGACCATATGTGGATGGATTTACTTCTGGAGTTTCTATTCTGTTCCATTGATAGATGTGTCTTTCACTGTACAAGTACCAGTCTGTTTCAAATAATGAGACTGTGTAATAGGTTTTAGTATTTTATTAAACATTTAAAAAATGTTATTAAAATATGAATTGAGTAAAGGTTTGCAGAGATCATCAACTTTACATTAAACAAATCATATGCTTGGTTTCATTTAAATAATTGCAATCCTTTCCATGTATCATCAGTTGACAGTATTTACTTCTGTCCCCTTTTACTCTTGCACTCCTGGTTTTGAGATCAGGAAGTGAGAAGCCTCCTAGTGTGTTCTTCGTCTTTAGTAATTCATTACTTATCCAGGGTCTCTTTTCCTTTCCATATGAAGTTAGTGACTAGTTCCAATAATTTTCTAATAGAGTCTTTAGAATTTCCTATCTGTAGGATCATATCATCGACAAATAGAATTTTACATCTTCTCTGCCAGTTTGCCTTTAATTTCCCTCTCTTGCTTCATAGTCTGGCTAAGACTTCCAGCACAATATTGACTAGGAGTGGCATCCTTGTCTGGTTCCCATTCACAAGAGGAATGTTTTCAGTCTCCCTCCATTCAAAGTAATGTTAGCCATTTGTTTTACATATATGGCCTTAATTATATTGAGGAATTTCTCTTCCATTCCTATTTTGTTGAGTGTTTTTTATCAGGAATGGTGCTGAATTTTGTCAAATACCTTTTTGTTTCAATTTATATGAGCATGTGACTCTTTTCCTTTGTTTTATTTATGAGGTGGATTATTTATACTTGGTATAAATCCCACTTGATCATAATGTGTTCTTTTTGAAATGTCATTGGATTTATTGAATAGGTGTTTGGTGAGAATTTTTGCATCTATGTTCATCGGGATATTGGTCTATAATTTTCTCTTTTTGTAATGCCTTTGCCTAGTTTTGGTTTCAGGATTACTTTTGCTTAGTAAAGTGAATTTGAGGGTTTTCCATCCTTTTCCATGTTCTGGAAATACTTGAGTAAAATTGATGCCATCTTTTCTGTAAATGTTGTGTAGAATTCACTAGGAAAACCATCTGGGCCCAGACTGTTTTTTGTTGGGAGATTTTTTTTAAATGATCTGATCAATTTCTTCTTTTGTGATAGTTCTGTGGAAGTTTTAAACTTTTAGTCTCTTGGTTTAAGTAGATAGTGTATTTCTAGAAATGTGTCCACATCTTTTAGATTCTCAAAGTAGATTCTTTATTTTTTTGTTGTTAAGTTCTGTAAAGTTGGTTACGACTCATAGCGATCCAGTATAGGGTTTCCTAGAAACACCTGGTGAGTTTGAACCACCAACCTTGTGGTTCAACCTGACCTTATGGTCCAGTGTTTTATCCCACAGCATCACACCAGGACTCCAGATATTTCATAGTATTCTATTATCCTTTTAATTTCTGTTGGTTCTATTGTGACATAACCCATTTCATTCTGTTTCTTATTATTTGAATCTTCTGTTTCTTTTATTTTCCAGTGGTTTATCAATTTTATTAATTCTTTCAAAGAAACAACTTCTTGTATTGTTGATTCTTTCTATTCTTTTACTGTTTTCTTTTTCATTTATTTCTGCTTTAGTCTTTATTATTAATAAATGACTTTTAAAAAATTGTATCACAAACATAAAGGATTAATATCTCTAAATTTACACACAGAAAAACAGCAAATGACAGCATAACACCACTGCCATCGGGTCAATTCAGACCCATAGTGGCCCTAAATAGTGTTTCCAAGACTATAAACTCGGTGGGAGCAGACAGCCTCATCTCTTTCTTGCACAGTGTCTGTGGGTTTGAACTGTCAACCTTGCAGTTAAGCAGTTCAACACCTAACCCCCAGTGCCACCAGAACTCCTTCAAAAATATACAAAAGTCAAACAACAACAAATACATAAACAACAACAACAAAATCAGTAGGAAAGGTCATTTAAATGGAATCAACTTACAAGCAAAGAAATACACAAGATGGCATTTTTCCTACCAAATTAATGCAAAATAAAACTAGTGACAAAACCCAAACTAGATTGGGATCTGGATAACAGGCTTATTTTGTGGTGTTGTTGGAAGCCTGACTCACCACTGCCTTTCTGTAGGGAAGTTTAGCAGTGCATGTCACCGTGTCAAATATAACCCTGCACCCTCCTTTGAGGAATTTATTGCAAAAAGACCATTCCAAATAAGCAACTGGACTCACAGTTACCTCAAATGATGTCCTGTGAGTGTACTCCCCCCTGTCTTTCTGTTTTGCACTTGAATATTATTTTGGACAGATAACTTTTGATACACTGATGGCTAATTTTAGATTAGGCATCCCTGGGTGGCTCCAACTATTAAGTGAGGGGCTACTAACCAAAAAATTGTTGGTTTGAATCCACTCAGAAGCCCCTCCGAAGGTTTAGCAATCTCCTTCAAAAGGTCACATAGCCATCGAAACCCTACGGAGTACAGTTCTGGCCCCAAACACCGGGGGTTTGTGGCCACTGTGAGTTGCAATCAACTCAACAGCAACTGATTTGAGTTTGCTTTGAGTTTTCTGTTTTTTTTTTTTTTAATTTTTACATTATGGGCATTACAGAATTCTCATTCAAGAAAAATATTTACGTTTTCAGAACTTTCAGAAAAGTAACTGTTCAGTTTTTAATTGAATATCTAACTTTTCCTTTTTATTACAGAAAACTGGAAGAGTTTTTGAATTTCAAAAATCTTCAAACTTGTTTAAAGGAAGCTATTCTATTAGATTATTATGTATCTGGATTTTTGTGGGCTAAAGGAATGGACTTCTCTGTTACTCAATATTCAAAATTTATGACTTTGCTAAATATGTTACTTCATAATCTAAAAAGTAAGTACTGATTTTATTTTTTAATGACATCTAGTCCACTAAGTTCTTAAACATGAATTTCTAATCTTAGTAAAATTATATTTTCTTAGATATAGCAAAGATACCATTCATATAATTAGCTAGTTGTAAAACCTCAAATAATAGTCAACAAGAATAAAGTCCTCTTAAATAATTAATTTGTCAAAGATTATTTCATTTAAGATACTACCAGTGCCTCCAATCCCCATCTCTCACCCAAAAAGGACCTTTAAGTATTAGAGATTTCTTCATTTATTCCCTTGATTTCAACTCTTTTCATCTCATCTTGTGTGTAATCTGGGGTACCTTAGAATGACTGTTGAGAGAAGTTTTGGTCAATATCAAAAAAGAAAATTTAGACACCAAGAAGAAAAAGACCTAGAATATAAGAGAAAAATACCAAAGAAACAGGTGGATCTGAAACAAATGAAAAACCCCAACCTTCATGGTAAGAAAAATACTAAATCAAAAAACACAAAAATGTCATTCATCACATATGAGACTGTCAAAAGTTTTAAAGTTTTGTAGCATCCTCAGTTGTTAAAGCAATAAGAAAGTTACATATCCTCATTGATTGCTAATAGAAGTACAAATTGGAGTGAAAAAAAAAATTGATGTGTTTTGTGTGGAAAAGGAGCCCTAGTGGCGCTGTGGGATAAGCATTGTGCTGCGAACCACAAGGTCAGCAGTTCAATCTCACCAGCTGCTCTGCAGGAGAATGATGATGATGTCTAATCCGTAAAGATTTACAGTCTTGGAAACTCTAAGGTACAGATTTCTACTCTGTCTAACAGAGTTCTTATGACTCCAATCTACGTTATGTCAGTTTCTGTGGAAATTGTCAAATGAGAATCTAACTTAATTTGTAAACTTTCACCCAAAGTTATTAAATTATTAAAATTAAATAAAAACAGAGTCTGTGAAGTGTAGGTTGACAGATATTTATCAAATTTACAAATGTGCAGTTGTGCTGACCCAGCAGTTCCATTTCTGGGACTTTTATCTACAAGTATACTTACATGTAACCTGACATATATGCAAACTGAGTTGCAGCAATGTTTCTAAGTGAAAAAACTTAGAAACATCAGATAGAGACATCTTTATGAACTCATATTTATCATAACATCAATTCATATGGATACATAGAGAAATAATTATAGATATATGTATTAGATGTCTAGGGTGGTGCTGCAGGATAATGCTCTGGACCACAAAGTCGGTTTGAGCTGCAAGGTCAGCAATTCAAATCCACAAGCCGCTCCTCAGAAACCCGGTACAGGGTTGCTATCATTCAGAACCAACTCGACAGCACTTAACAACAATTACAGCTTGTATACTTAGAGGAGCTTGGTGGCTCTGTAGGATAAGCACTTGTCTGTGGACCAACCACAAGTTTGGCAGTTTAAGCTCACCAGCATTTCCACGTCTTCCTGTTTCTACAAAGATTTACAGCCTCAGAAAACGTAGACAGGGTCGCTATGAGTCCATACGTGTGCTGCATATGTAGACATTGTTGAGTTGATTATGTTTTGTTGTGTATATTCTCAACAACCAAACAATAAATAAACTTTTTAAAAAGACAAAAATATTTACATGACATGGGCAGTTCTAAATGTTGGCAACCTCGGAGCTAAGTATTCACAAACTAGAAAGAGAATAAAGGAAAGTAAAGATTTTCATGAATCTTGAATACCAAATTTGAGAAGATACTTCCATTTAAAATTTGTCCATAACTTATAATTGTTCCAAAGTCATTCATTTTAAGTGGCACTTTAAATTGTTATTATGAGTTCAAAAATTTTTTTTAAAAAACTTGAGCTGGATCCAACCAGCTACTCATAAACCATGAGAAAGTGAAAATGCATATGTAGAAAGTTACCAGAGAAAAAGCAAGAGATCTAGATTTTCCATCCTGACAGGGGGAAAAAATCCCTTAAATCTTTAAAACTTAAGGATATAGTCATCATCAGGAAAGAATGCCATTTTTTTGTCAAGAGTGCCAAGGAAGGAGGTAAAGTAAGTTTATACTTCTGCTAAATGGTAATCGAATCCTGAGAACCACCTAGTCAGCATTCCTGTCTGGCAACAGCTTCATAGAAAAATTACTAAAGAACACAGTGTGGGCTGTTAACCCTAGGCTAGTCCACCATTAATAATGCAGTTTTAGCGAAGTAAATGCATTTTATACTTGACTTGGTTGACTTGGTTTCTGGTCCTTAACTTAAACTTGTGACTATAAAACAATCTGCAGATAACCCACTTAGAATGAAACTGGATCAAACGAAACGATTATGGAGACTAGGCTTTGTAGAGTTATCTTTGTTGTTGGTGGTAAGTACCATCAAGTCAGTTCTAACTCATAGTGACCCTGTACAGGGTTTCCAAGGAGCAGCTGGTGGGTTTGAACCTCTGACCTTGCAGTTCAAATTTACCCTATGGCCCAGTGCTTTATCCTACAGTGCCACAACAAGCCTCCAGGGTTATCTTAGCAATATGTATTTTGAAGTCTAGTTTTCCTTGGCCCTGACCTCAGATAAGCTGTAGGGTATTCAAGTGGATATTTGGTGTCGACATCAGTGCATGGGTTTAGATTGCCTTGAGTATAAGTTGCTATAGAATACTTTTAGTGGATTCTATGAGGCTGAAAATAAACTACTGAAAGTACTCTAGGATATTTCCATAATTCTGAGTCATCACTCATCTGTCCATTTGACAAATTGATGGTTTGTGTGTTGTGTGATGGTGAAAGCTATGCCACTGGTATATACTGAATACCAGCAGGATCATCCATGGTGGACAGGATTCAGCTGTGCTTCCAAATTAAGACAAACTAGGAAGAAGGAGAGACAGCACACTTCTGTAAGGTTAGCCACTGAAAATATTATGAATAGCTCTAGAACATAGTCTGAAGATGAGCCTCTTAAGTCAGAAGGCGTTAAAAAATATGACTGGAGCGGGGGAGCTGCCTTCTGAAAGTAGAATTGATCTTAATGATGTGAATGAAGCAATGCTTTGGCAACCTTCATTTGCTGATGGAGCACCACTCAAAATGAGAAGAGACAGTTGCAAACATTCATTAATAATTGGAATGTTGAATATCTGAAGTGTGAATCTACAAAAAATGACTAGTCATCAAAACTGAAATGGAACACACAAAAATTGGTATCCTAGGCATTAGAGAGCTGAAATGAATTAATATTGGCCATTTTGAAGGAATAAAATCATATGATTTACTATGCAAGCAATGACAAAGTCAAGAGACTCGGTGTCACTTTCATTGCCAAAAAGAAAATTTCAAGATTTCTCTTACAGTACAGTGCTGTCTGTGATAGGAGAATATCTGTACACATACAAGGAAGACTAACGAGTATAACTATTATTCAAATTTGTGCACCAACCACTAAAGCCAATGATAAAGCAATTGAAGAATTTTACTAACATCTTCAGTCAGCAATTGATTGAACATGCCATCAAGATGCATTGATATGTATTGGTGATTAGAATGTGAAAGTTGGAAACAAAGAGGGAGGATCTGGTAGCTGGAAAATATGGCCTTGATTTTAGAAACAGTGCTGGAGATCACATGATACAGTTTTGTAAGATCAATGACTCATTCATGGAAAATACCTTTTTCAACAACACAAATGGTGACTACACACGTGGACCTCCCCAGATGGAACACACAGAATCAAAGAGACTATGTCTGTGGGAAGAGGTGATGGAGAAGCTCAATATCATCAGCCAAAACAAGGCCAGGGGTAGACTGTGCAACAGACTTATCAGTTACTCCCATGCAAGTTCCAGCTAAAGCTGAAGAAAAAACAAGATCAAGAGAACCAAAATATGACCATGAGGATATCCCACCTGGATTTAGAGACCATTTCAAGAACAGATTTGATACTTTAGATGCTGATGACTGAAGACCAAAGGAGTTGTGAGATGACATCAAGATCATTATCCATAATTGTTATGACTAATTACAACTGGCAATTGTAGACGTTTTGTAGCAAAAATGGGGGAGTTTTTTATCTTACAGTGGGATAAAATGGGAGAGTAGTATATCTTACAGTCCTGAAACAGAGGACCCTAGGACCATCAAGGGAAGAATCGAGGCATTTGAATTATGATGTTGGAGAAGAATAGTAAAAGAACCATAGGCTACCAGAAGAATAAGCAAATCTGTTGAAAGAAGTATGGCTAGAATGCACCTTATAGGCTAGGATATAGCAAGACTTTGTCTCTCATACTTTGAACATGTTATGAGGAGGGACCAGTCCCTGGAAAAGGACATTATGTTTGGTAAAGTGGAGGGTCAGTGTTAAAAAGGAAGAGCCCCCAACAAGATGGATTGACACAGTGGGAGCAGCAATGGGCTCCTCAGTTGTGAGGATGGTGCCGGCCCCAGCAGTGTTTTCTTGTATTCTGCATAGGGTCGCTATGAGTCAGAAATGACTCAAAGGAACGTAGCATCAACAGTAGTCACACACAGTCTTAGGAACTAGCTCTGTTATTCTCCCTTAAAAAAGAAAAAAAAAAAATCAATGAAATTCTAGAAAGGTAATTAACTCCTTAAAGTCATCCCCTTCAGTGAAAGCCCATCCTTCTATTATACTAAGTAAGTATGCCTCGTGTTGGGCTGAATCATTAATTTTTTTAATAAAACGATCCTAGTAGTTAGCTATAGCAACAAGAAACATTTTTCACAAACCCAGCTTGCATGTATATAGAGCACTATACACGGGTAATGTCCTAGCATGCTGGTGTTTTCAGTTTACTGTGAGATTCACACGTACTTCTTACAGGATCATCACAGCTTCACGGTAATTTTGAAAATGGGTATTATTCTCATTTTAAAGGAAAATGAGACTCAGACCATGAAGCTGGTAAATGGCAGTTCTGAGACGCCAGTCTAAGTCTCCCAGTTAATTTTAAATCTCTTTTCCTCTTTGTTGTCGTTGTGTGCTGTCAGATTGGTTCCAACTCATAGGAACTCTGTGTCAGGTTTCTGATGCTGTAGATCTTCATGGGAGCTGAAAGCCTCGCCTTTCTTATATTGCCCCAAGTTTTCAAAGATAAATTTCATTTCTAACAGCCCTTATTATTTTAATTACTTAGCCTCATATTTTAGTCATATCACTAAATGTGATTTTTTAAAGAGACAATATCTAATTTAGATACACGATAACTTTCCTTGTTTGTAAAGCTATTATGCATAAAAAGGCTTTATTGTTACATGTCAACGAGGCCTTTCTGACTCCTAGCAACCCTGTAGAGGCTTTCTGAGGCTCATCTGTGGTTCTCAGTCCAGTGCTCATTCTGCATTGCCACAGCAGAAGTCCAGAAAACATTAGACCTAGAAAAACATTTTAAAAGTAAGTCCTATTCCAACACAAGATAATAAACATGTAAATGTATTTTTGTATTTAATGAGAATAGTTTCATGTAGAATTATAATTAATTATGCAAGAAATCTTTATATGGCGGCTCTAATTAATACCACTTTATTAAAACAATAATTAAGATTTGTACTCACGAGGAACCTGTCCAGTTGTTCAAGCAGAATAAGAGAACACTGAATGGTTCAAAATTAGGAAAGATGCACGCCAGGGTTGTAATCTTTCACCATACTTATTCAGTCTGTATTCTGAGCAAGTAATCTGAAAAGATGATTATGTAACGAAAGAAGAATGTGTATTCAGGATAGGAGGAAGAATCATTAACAACCTGCAATATGCTGATGATACAACCTTGCTTGTTGAAAGCAAAGAGGAGTTAACATATTTACTGATGATGATCAAAGACCATAGCCTTTGGTATGGGTTACATTTCATTGTAAAGAAAATAAAATCCTCACAACTGGATCAATAAATAACATAAAGAGGAATGGAGAAAAGATTGAAGTTGTCAAAGACTTCATTTTGCTTAGATCAACCATCAAAACTCATGGAAGCAGCAGTCAAGAAATCAAACGACATTATTTCATTAGGCAAATTTGCTGCACAAGACCTCTTTAAAGTGTTGAAGAGCAAAGATGTCAGTTTGAGGACTAAGGTGCACCTGACCCAAACCATGGCATTTTTAACAACCCCATATGCATGTGAAAGTTTGCCAGTGGCTAAGGAAGACTAGAAGAATTGATGCATTTGAGTTATGGTGTTGGAGGAGAATATTAAAAGTGCCATGGACTGCTAAAAGAACAAACTAATCTGTTGGAGGAAGTACAGCTAAAATGCTCCCTGAAGGCCAGGATAACCAGACTTTATCTCTAATACTTTGGACATATTGTCAGGAGGGACCAGTCACTGGAGACGGATATCATGTTTAGAAAAATGGAGGGTTGGAGGAAAAAGAGGAAGAGCCCCAACAAGATAGATTGGCGCAGTGGCAGCAGCAATCGGCTCAGGCAGAGCAGTAATTGCGAGGTTGATACAGGATCAAGCAGTGTTTTGTTCTCCTGTGCATAGAGTTACTAAGAGTCAGTATTGACTTTATGGTACCTAACAATAACAACAGTAACTTACATCCCTGACAGAAGAGTTGCTGTTAGCTCCCAGTTGAAGGGCTCCAGGAACCAGAACACTTCTGCTTTCCTCAGAAGATAACCCACTCCATTAGCAACAAGTGGAACTTTTCCTGACTGTTTCATAGAGAGACAGAGGTTTGTTTGAGACTGGGTGGCTGAAACACACATGGAGAACACCATGGCATCTTGGTACAGATCACACTAGGTGCCACTATCAGAGGGGATGATGCCAAATTGCCTATGAAAATTTTGTGCAGAGTTTCAACAGAAATATATTCGTTTTTATAAAATGTTTCAAGAACCATTTTTCACAAATCCGACTTACATGAATCAATGTACCTACAAAGCTAAAACTCTATGCTAATTTACTTCTTGAACCATCAAATAAGCACTAGACTGCGAACCACGTGGTCTGCAATTCAAGCCCACAAGCCAATCATCAAGAGAAAGAAGAGCCTTTCTGCTCCTGCTAAGATTCACAGACTTGGAAACCCTATCCAGGGTTGCACTTCACAGCAACAACAGCGCACTCTAGTAAGGGGCACTGGTGGTGCTGTGGGGTAGGCATTGACAACTAACTGCAAGGTCAGCAGTTCAACTCACCAGCCACACTTTGGGAGAACAGCGAGGCTGTCTGCTACAGTAAGATTTAAAGTCTCAGAAGTCCTTTATAGTGGTGCTTTCCCGGTATCAGCATCTCCTCATGACAGTGCTTTGGTTGGGGAATGTGTTCTAGTAGAGTTGTCGTTTTCACCCAGTCACTGATGGTTCTCATCGCACCATTTTATCTGCATCTGCTGCAAGCATGTGCTGTTGTTTTTGTTCCTGCCAGTGTCTTTAGAGTCACTGATTTTGTCCCCTCTCCTGGTGTTTAAGCTACATATTATGGTAATTAGTATTTTTGAACATTTATCAATAACTTTTTTTTGAGTATGAAGTAATAATTAAGAGAAAAGGAGAATTTTTTTTAAAAGACCAGTTCAGTTATTAATAATGTTATAATGTAATTCAATACAGAACGGTTTACAAAAAAAAATTTTTGTTCAAATTCTTATAATCTAAGATGTATTTGTTGTTGTTATTACATGCTGTCAAGTTGATTCAGACTCACAGCGACCCTGTGTAGGGTTTCTGAGGAGCAACTGTTGAGCTTGAACCGCTGACCTTGCAGTTCCAATTGACCTTGCAGTCCTGTGCATTAACCCTTAGTGCCTCCCCCGCCGGACTCCATATTTAAGAAGTATTACATTTAAAAAATTTAATACTTTCAAACAATCTGTGCTGCACAAGACCTTTTTAAAGTGTTGAAGAGCAAAGATGGCAGCTTGAGGACTAAAGTGCACCAGACCCAAGCCATGGTATTTTCAATAACCTCCTATGCATGCGAAAGCTGGACAGTGAATAAGGAAGACCGTAGAAGAATTGATGCCTTTGAATTATGGTTTTGGAGGAGAATATTGAAAGTGCCATGGGCTGCCAAAAGAACCAATAGAGCCGTTTTGGAAGAAGTGCAGCCACAGTGCTCCTTGGAGACCAAGATGGCCAAACTTCGTCTCTCATACTTTGGACATATTGTCAGGAGGGACCAGTCATTGGAGAAGGATATCATGTTTGGTAAGGTGGAGGGTCAGAGAAAAAGAAGAAGACACCTAACGAGATGGATTGGCCAAGTGGCAGCATCAGTAGACTCAAGCGTGACAACAATAGTGAGGTCGGCCCAGGATCAGGCAGTGTTTCCTTCTGCTGTGCATAAGGTTGCTGTGAGTCAGTACCGACTTGATGGCACCTAACAACAACAATAGTAGTTTGTAATTGTTAGTTTGTCAACTGTTATTGTTTTACACACAAGTTAAGTATTAACTATGTCATGTAGAAACAACAGTTGTTTTACCATTTTGCCTTACAAATACTAAAGTAAAGGTGTCTTAAGTTATTTTGCTCTGAAAATGCCTATCAAAATCCTGTTTCTCATTTCCCTGGGTTCAATTTCAGCTCTACACATGTCCTTAGAAGACAGTATAAAATGGCTGGGAGAAGTTATGGCTGAAATCGGACCAGCCCATTTAGGCAAAAATGACAAATGGAATATCTTTGATGTAACACAAGCCAATGCTGTCATCGATTACTTACAAATCAGGTATGGATTTTTCTCAGTAGCATTTGTTTCATTTCATATGCTTTTTAAAAATAAAATTGTTTTATTTTGACAAATTCAGATGTTTGCAGAATTTATACTGTAGTTGATCCAATCAACGAGCAGATGATACTGACATATTCCATCTAATAAATATAACTCAGGGCACTGAACATTTTGACGTACTTTACATTCTTACAAGGCAAGGAAAATGCTGCTTGGAACAGACTCTACCCCTTGATTACAATACTGTTGTAACTGCAATAGTGAGGTTGTATTGTAATACATGCAAGCAAGGTTGTGTCGTCTGCATATTTTTGTTGTCATGAGGAGCCGTCCAATTAGTTATGACTCCGAATGAACCCATGAACAACGGAATGAAATACTGACTAGTACTGTGTCCTTCTCACAATCATCACCCACTGTTGCAACAACTATGTCAGTCCATCTTATTGAGGGTTTTCTTAGTTTTCATTGATCCTCTACTTTAACAAGCATGATGTTCTTCTCCAGGGACTGCTCCTCCTGATAACACGTGCAAAGTATGTGACACTACGTCTAACCATTCTCACTTCTAAGGAGCATTCTGGCTGAAGTGGTTCCAAGTCTCATTTGTTTGTTATTCTGGCAGTTGATAGTATATTCTATATTCTTTGGCCACATCAAAATTCAAATTCATCAGTTCTTTTGCTTTTTAAGAAAATTATTGCCCTTTTTTTTTTTACATGTGTATGCGGAGATTGAAAACACAATGGTTTTGTTTAAGTGCATCCCAGTTCTCAAAGTGAGATCTTTGCCTTTGAACACTATAAAGAGGTTTTTTGCAGCACATTTGTCCAATGCAGTAGGTCATTTTATTTCTTAACTTCTGCTTCCATGCTGTTGAGTGTGGATGGATTCAAGTAAAATAAAATTCTTGCCACCTTTAGTCTTTCCTCCACTTATAATGATGCTATTTATTGGTCCAGCTATGGGGATTTTTGTTTTCTTTATGCTGATGTGTAATCCATGCTGAAGACTGTAGTCGTTGATTTTCATCAGTAAGTGCTTCAAGTCATCTCTGCTTTCTGAAACCAAAGTTGTGTCATCAGCATATTGCGGGGTGTTAATGAATCTCCTTCCAATCCTGATGCCACGCACTTCTTCACATAGTACACTTTTTCAGATTATTTGTTCAGCATACAGATTGACTAAGTATGGTGAAAAGACACAACTTTGTTGTACACCTAACCTGACTTTAAGCCACATTGATGGTGAATGGAGGGTAAAAAAAATTTAATACAGTGATTCTTCATTGTTGAGCAAAAAAAATCTGTCTTTTTATATATTCTGTTACAAGATCGGATTACAATTGTGCATCTCACTAAGGGAGCATTTTTAGAGCTTGCAAATATTTAAACTAGAACAGGTAAAATATTTCTCTTACTAACTGAAAACGTCTATGAAATAATATCTTTGTTCATCTTATTCTATGTATTTCCCACTTGTAAATTTTTTAAAATTCACAATAAAAGTGTGCTGAATGACATCTTAGACATGCACACTTGTGATATGCTTGGCAAGTATCCTGGTTGTAGTCTGGAAGGTTGTTAAACATTAATATGTTTAATATGATAAAGTTTATACATTTGTTTCGGGCATGAATTAATAATAGCATATGATGTAATGTGTTTTTTAATATATAATGGCATTTGATATAATATGATTTCTTAATACGCCTCCTAATGTGTCTCTCTCACTAAAAGCCACATCATTCTTCAAATCAATTAGAGAGAGAAGGCAAGATATCTGGAGGGAAGGGAAGAGGGCGGAAGTGTAGAATTGAAGGAGAACTCAGTCCTCAATGTCTTTCTGCCCGTCAGGGTTTGAGGTTCACTGGGCAAGGAGAGTTCTGCTCCGCACTTGTCTAGCACTTTTCTTTCTCTTCTCTCTCTTTTTGAACCTGCCAGGTTTCTCTTGCAAAACACATTTTTACAGCTGAGCCCCAAGCCCTGGAGCTTTTTAATGGGCACGGGACTGATAGCTAACCGTGGTAGCACAAACCGCGCAGGCACGACAATGACACCTTGTAGACGGTGAAGGATGGTGTCTCTTCTCCCTTTCATCTCTCTCTCTCTGGGAAAATGTCCTTTCAGAAGATGTCAGTGTTTGTCACCTTTAAATCCTAACCAGGGCAACTTTACATAAGAAATGTACAGTGTACCCAAAACAAGTCCAGTATTCAAAAAGCAAGTCATGTTTCAGAGATTTGGCAAATAAAGTTAAGTCAGAACTATATTTTATGCTGTTAGAGTCTCATATGATGATCGCTAAGAAATGATCTGCTTTAAAAATCCCTGTTAAATAAAATTAAGATTATCAGTTAGTAGAATAGCTGCAATTGATACTAAAGTTGATATACTTGCTTAGAATCCTTCATCATCCCATAAATGTAAGCTTAATGACACCACTAAATCATACAATAATTTTCATTTTGATGATTACAAGAGTTTTATAAATAGAAAGCTAATTCATTTATCAAAAGCATAGGCATGCTTTAATTTAAGCTGATATTAAATTCACCCAAACCATGAAAACCCTAGTCAATTTAGGAAGTTCAGTTTAGAAAACATCACTCATACTACATGAAACGTTAAGGAAGGACAATGAAGTAGAAATTTCATGTGACATTCTTAATAGACTCTAAATTATTTATCTGATCCTGTTTAAGTCGTTTGAAAATAACCATTGCTAAACTTCTGCACCATTAGCTTCACTCCCCATTATTCTAATTACTAACATATCAACTTGCGTACAGTGTATATGTAAGTTTATGATGTATGTAAATATAAACACCATTGTAGCTTTTCAAATACAAAGCATCACTTGGACGTATATCTAGTCTGGTTGCATGCCTATCATTATTTATTCTACCTGTTTTCTGGGAATCAAGCAAAGGTAATATGTACAGACATTGTTGTCACCTGTCGTGGAGTCAAATCCGAAGCATATCAACTTTCTATAGCGTTTCCGAGGAACGGCTGGTGAGTTTCACCTGCTGACCTTGTGGTTCACACAGATTTTGCAGGCCAGTGCGTATCCTACGATACCACACCAGGGCAAGCGTATGCCCAATATAAAAAAAACCATCCCGGCAGGGCCTGCACTTCCTGGCACAGAGCCAGATGATTTCACTTGTTTTTATTCTGAGTATTCTTTCTTCCATTTAGGGCTAAGTTGAAGTTTGACCTAGTCTAGGAGCTTTTATAGAGAGTTTTTTGTTTTTATAAATTATAGAGGCAGTCCAAAGGGGCCTTGGTAAGGCAAGGGAGGTGTCTTGGCTAGACCCTCAGATGAGTGCCTCCTGAGATGTTTCCCTCATTTCACCCAATCCTCACCTTTGCCGGCAAATCTGCATCGTTGACCACTGCATGTAAATCATGCGTTTAATTTTCATTGTAGGAAGCGAATTTCCTTATTGGCGTGGGATCATCTCATGCCTATAGGCAACAAGGAGACTAAGAATGAAAGATTATGGAATTGTAAAATGGAAGATGTATGAATTAAGTTCTTAGTGTGACGTAAGATTGAGAAAAGAAAGTCTTAAACTACTTCACTGAAAAGAAGTCAAGCTATTTCCAAAATGCAATCTTTAATGTTTCTTTTTTTATCCAAAATCAGTTATTGCCAATGTAACGCTTTTGAATTTAAAGATTTCTCTAGGTAACCAATATAAGGGAAAGAGAGTTTGAATTGATGCTTCATTGAATTATTAGACTTCACTAATCTTGACATATTTTTGAGCCAACATATCAAAGTGATGTCAAAAGCTAAGTTCATTTTCTGAATGCTGATGAGTAATTTGAACATTTAAGGTTGTTTCCCCCAAAAGAAATGCCGTGACTGAGTCTGCCGACCCATCACTTTTGAATACGCTGTGTTAGTAGTGAGATCAACTTCTGATATAACTCAGAGAGACCCAGCTGCCTAGGCATCTCTTCATTGATTTCAAATGAATTGAAATTTGATCCATTACAGCATTCAGGAGAAGCCATTATTATACATGCTCAGTAGCTACATTTTGTAAATGTTAATTTCTCAGTTATATTAAAATCAATTTTCTTAAATAGCAAAAGGCACCAGAGTGAAAGAGAAACCACTAACACTATTTTTTTGTTCTTGAGCATTTTGCTATATTATGAGTCTATTAATTTTCCCAACCAGCAGGAAGAGAATTAGAAAATTCAAATATTATCACAAACAGGATATTAGAAGTCAGCCTTTCAGTAAATTTTAAGCTTCCAGTAATACATTTCTGAAATCTTTAAACTTACTAAAAGAAATATTTGTTTAAAGGACCTCCTTTGGCTTTTTGTAGTTTTTGTACAGTGATAACATTTTTTAAGAGTAAAAACTGACAAAATGATCTTTTTAAAAATTAATTCCTTCCCTTCTATTTTCATTCTAAAATTCTGAAGGAAATTCAGTCATTTTCTAAATAGGTTTGCATTCTTCTTGTATCATTTTTCAGGAATTAGTCGAGGTTAATTTAATCTGGATACACTTTAGGAACATGAACGGAAGTAATAGCCAAGCCACACAAGTTTGGTTGTGTTGACTGCCTCATAGATAGTCCATGTGCGTTAGAGTAGAATTATACTTTAAAGGGCTCTCTTGGCTTTGGCCTTTCGGGAACAGATTGCCAAGCCTTTCTTACTCCTCCCTTAGTATTTTCAGGAAAATCTGGCCGTTCTAAATGAATTTTATTTATCTTGTATCACTTTTCAGATGTGATTGGAGGTTACTTTAATCTTAATGGGTTTAGGAAAGAGACAGGAACTAATTTGATATCAATAAATATATAGAATTCATGTCATCATGCCAGGAGAAATTGACTCCAGTTTGGAGCAAAACATGAAAATAATGTGAAGTTGTTATTAATCTAGTTGGGGCATTCGTTTGATATAATTACCCCTTTATTCCAACCATATTCACTCACCATAGACAGATTTACAGATATTATTTTAATTGCTATGGTATATTTTCAACATCTCAAAAAAATAAATCTTTTCTAAACATTTCTGGACAATTTCTTTTGGAATAAAGGAGGTGATTAACATTATACTAGTACTTAATGTCTTTAGCATGGTCGATAGAAACAACTGTCCTTCAATAAATACCATATTTCATTTTTTCTGAAATAAATTTATCAGAGTTGCACATTGATTTTGTATTTCAGCTTATTTCAACACTACAAGCTCTATGAGTTCCTATTCTATTCTACCAGGGAAGAAATTGTGACAGGAACTGAGGTAAGTAATTTATCTAGCTGGAACCAATTCAGCTGAATCACTTAATGCATGCTAATCAGCATCTGATCTTTAACTGCTTAAAGCAACTTCTTGTCAAGATTACTCAAGTGTTAATGTAACCAACTAATACTTTTCAAAAAAGAATAATTATATGAAAGGAGCTTACGAAAATAAGCTATCTTTGGCATGAAAAGCATTGCCAATCACATGTACTTTAGGAAATTTTGGATTATTTGACAAAGCTCAATTAGATAGGATAGGTATATTTTCATACCCATAAGATCAGGAAAGGTGAGATAAATCAATTAATCAATTTTTTTCTAATTTTACATTTATTTAAACCTAGATCAAATTCCACTTCCTCAAGGAAGCATCACATTAATTGCATTCCATCTTAACTGAAGGATTTGGGCAAACTCTCAAATCACATTCTGATTTCATTCCAGTTTGTTCTCTTACTGATCAATTCAGGTTACTCTTGCCACACCAGCACATAAATAAAAATGTGCATGCACTATTTTATTCAGTTTTGTAGTATGTGTGGCTTGATGTATACTTTAACTGTACTGTTTTTTAAAGACAAACATCATCTTCTGTTTCCTACCAAAGCATAGAGTATCATGCATTTTCATTTATAGTATGTTAATGAGCCACTAGTAGCACATAACGTAACAGATACACACAAAAAGCTATCTACCTTGAAACATTTTTGAACAGCCTTGATACATGATTGTGTACTTGTAGTTATTGGAAATAAATCCTGGTTGTTGTTGTTGTTGTTCAGTGCTTACAAGTCAGTTACAACTCTTAGTGACCCTGTATAGGGTTTCCCAGGCTGTAAATCTGCAGGAGCAGAAAGCCTCACTTTTCTCCTAGTGGAATGACTGGCAGACTCAAACTGCCAACCTGATGATATGAAGGTCAGTGCTTATCCTACAGAGCCGCCGTGATCCCCAATGGGAAGACATATTAAAAAGGTTAAGATGCTATAAAAACATGCTACAATCAATTCTACAGACACAAGGTTGCCATTAACTGGAGCCAACTTGCTTGGCCTCTAACAGCATAGGTTCTTAGCTACTTTGTTGTTGGTAAGTGCAGTGTCCATTCACAGCAACCCTCTGCACAACAGAATGAAACATTGCTCGGTCCTGTGCCATCCGCACAATTGTGGTTATACTTGAGCCCACTGCTGCTGCCATGGTGTCAGTCTGTCTTGTTGGGGGTCTCCCTCTTTTTCATTGACCCTTCACTTTACCAGGAATAATGTCCTTCTCCAGGGACTGATCCCTCTGGGCAACATGTCCAAAGTATGAGGCAGGAAGTCCCATCATCCTCACTTCTAAGGAAAAGTCTGGTTATGCATCTTCCAAGATTTGTTGGTTCTTCTGACAGGCCATGGCACTTTCAGTATTCTTCGCCAGCCCAATGCATCAATTTTTTTTACGGTCTACTTATTTTCTGTCCAACTTTCACATGCGTATGTTGGCTTTATTGTTAGGTATGATCGATCTTATAGCGCCCTTTTGCAAAACAGGTGTTTGCACATTTCATTACAGTATTTGACTTTGTATTTTCGAGCTGACCTTTGAAATTTTCTGTTCAGTTCTTTGGCTGAACATTAAAAGTATGGACAACATTGCAGAGAATGAGTATCCTGGAACACCTAATTGTGCTCATGAGGAACCTGTACATGGGCCAAGAGGCAGTTGTTTGAACAGAACAAGGGAACACTGAATGGTTTAAACTTAGGAAAGATGTGCACTCGGGTTGTATTCTTTCACCATACTTATTCAACCTGTAAGCTGAGCAAATAACCAGAGAAGATGAATTTCATGAAGAAATCACAATTGGAGGATTAACAACCTGTGATATGCAGATGATACAACCTTGCTTGCTGAAAGCAAAAAGGACTTAAAATACTTACTGATGAAGATCAAAGATCAAGCCTTCTGTATGGATTGCACCTCAATGTATAAAAGACAAAAGTCCTCACCACTCGACCAATAAACAACATCCATACAAACGGAGAAAAGTTTGCAATTGTCAAAGACTTCATTTTTCTTACATCAACCATCAACACTCATGGAAACAGCATTCAAGAAATGAAATGATGTATTTCATTAGGCAAATCTGCAACACGAGAATTCCTTATAGTGTTGAAGAGCAAAGGTGTAAGTTTGAGGACTGAGGTGCACCTGACCTAAGCCATGGTATTTTCATTAACCTTATAAGCAAGTGAAAGTTGGACAGTGAATAAGGAAGACCATAGAATTGATTTGACTTATGGTTCTGGAGAAGAATATTAAAAGTACCATGAAATGCCAGAATCTGTTGGAAGAAGTACATTCAGATTGCTCCTTGGAAGCCTTTGTGGTCAGTCTCTGCCTCTTACACAGTGACAGTATTATCAGGAGGTGCAAGTCCCTCGAGAAGGACATTTTGGTAAGGTGGAAGGTCGGATAAAAAAAGGAAGATCTCCAATGAGAAGGACTGGCACAGTGGCAACAGCAATGGGATCAAACCTATCAGTGATTATGAGGTTGGTGCAGAACCTGGCAGTGTTCCCTTCTGTTCTGCATAAGGTCGTTATGAGTCAGTACTGACTCGATGGTCCCTAACAATACCAATTCCTCGAATATCAATGTTTATGCGTTTCATTTTTGACAACTTCCAATTCGTCTAGATTCATACTTCATACATTCCATGTTTCTATTACTAAAGGATGTTTATAGCTGTTGTTTCTTTTGAGTTGTGCCAAATTTGCAAATGTAGGTCCCAAGGGATTTACTCCAGTTGTGTGACCAACAGTCAACTCTACTTTGAAGAGGCAGCTCTTTCCCAATCATATAATGAGTGCCTTCCAACCTGAGGGCCTCATTTGCTGGCACTGTATCTGACAGTATTTTGGAGCTTTTCGTCATGTTTCAGCATTAAATATTCTAGCACTATCTGACAGTGTTCCACTGCTATTCATAAGGTTTACAGTGACTAAATATTCAGAAGTAGTGTGTCTCTCTTTCTTCCTTGTTTGTCTTCATTTGGAAGCTCAGATGAAACCTGTTCATCATGGTGACCCAGCTGGTATTTAAAATACTGGTGTCATAGCTTCCAGAATCACAGCAATACGCAAGCTACCACAAACTGACAGATGAGCAGTGGACGTGTACATGAGGCTATCAAAAATACCATGATTTGGGCCAGACACACCTTAGTCCTCAAAGTGACATCTTTGCTGATGAACACTTTAACAAGGTCTTTTGTAGTAGATTTGCCTAATGCAGTACAACATTTGATTTCTTCAATTACTTCAGGAGGCTACATTAACAAGATCTATCAGAAACTGTAGTGACCCTACTATGTTTATAAAACCCCGCGATGTTTATAAAATGATATTATTTCCCGATCGTAAGAACCAGATGGAATGTGCTGTTTTGTCTTCCATATTGTTGTCATTTTTGATTTATGCATTGCTTAATTCATGAACACCTCAGTCACCATGTGTTGTTGTTTAGTTACTATGAAGTCAATTCAGACACGTAGTGACCCTGTGTACAATAGAACATAATATTGCCCACTCCTACACCATCCTCACAGTTTTTGCCACGTTTAATCCCATTGTTCCTTCCACTGTGTCAATCCATCGTGTTGAGGATCTCCTCCTTTTTCACTGAGCCTCTACTTTGCCAAGCATGATGTCCTCTAGGGACTGGTCCCTCTTGACAACATAAAGTACATGGATGAAGTCTCCCTACCCTCACCTCTAAGGAGCATTCTGGCTATACCTCTTCCAAGATAGACTTGTTCATTCTACCTGCAGTCTATGGTATATTTAGTAGTCTACACCAACACTATAATTTAGAGCCTTCAATTCTTCTTTGACCTTCCTTATTCATTGCTCAGTTAACAATTCTCACCTTCTGTCTGGACAGCTCTTCTAATGTCTAAGGAAAGTGCGCTGCACTATTTTGCTTATTTTTTTCCCCTTGTAATCTCATTAACCTTGTGCATACTGTAGCTTAAATTGGGTGTCACTTGACAAAGTTTCACTGAGAACATTTTCATTTCAGAATTGCAACATATAGTGTGACATTACTGTAATGATTAAGAGTTTGGAATATCACCCTAATTCATCTATTAAATAAAACTTTGGGGAAATGATAGCGGTTTCAACAGTGACATTAATAGATATTTAAATTCATCAAGAAAAAATTTCTGAAAGAACTCCCTGTCCCTTTGTTAATTGTACAATCATGTCTTTCTTCTATGCTGTAAGGACATATTTATCCTTATGGAAGGATAAAATTCAAAAAGCAGGCAGGGATTGACGCTGTTATTTTCCACTGTCTTTTGTATTTTACCCATGCTGACCAGAGTTATAAAAGTTAATTCTTAAAGAAAAGGTATTGAATCATCAAAATTTTAGAGGATTAGCCAAAGCAGGTATTATACTACAATATTTTATGGAGTTTTAGAAGTGTCTGGTAACCTTTGGTGCAAATATCTGTTTTCTAATTAGCAGCCTTTCATAGAGTAGTCAGCGGCCTGCCCCTTAATATGATTATTCATGGTGACCTCAGTGCTCTGTGACCAGGGCCACACAGCACTAGCATGAATGTTTACATTTAACTCTCCAGCAAGCCTTCAAGTTATATACTACTGATACAGTTCAGTTACTTTTTTTCTTTTTAGAGGTTAAGAGGAACGTTATATTGATATCATAATAAAAATTGTACAAAGATGCAATTTCTAAAATCTAATAAAAATATAGGAAAGAAAAAGTTAAGAAGACATTTTTAAGTATATTACTACGAAATAATTAAAGAGCAGAGTATGGCTGCAAACATAATAGAATATAGGAGAAGAAAGAAGAAAATAATTAATGATATTTGTTGTTTCTGATTAATGTTTACACAGCAGTTAGCTTCCCATTCAACAATTCTACATGAATTGTTCCGTGACATTGTGCTGTGCAGTGAATTATTTAAGGTGGCTCTTCT